TTTAGTGTCGAAAGAGAGCGGGCGACAAGACAAATTAAACTTAATAAGATGATATTTCACTTTTAATTTTTACTGGAACCAGCGAGCTCTTTATGGGTCTGTTTCTCTGTACTTGTGTGACTCATGTTGACCGCACGAATGCAGAAAGCAGATTTAGGAAAATGTCCCCACAATACAATGATGTAACATTCTTGTCTATTAAATGAAGAATGCATGTAATTTTGACTTTCACTTTTCCACCGCTAATTACCGCAGTTAATGACATCCATTAAAATAGGTTTTAATCAGCGTTTTCAACAATTGTAAGAGAAAATGCGTGTGTATAAACATTTTGAATATGAGCGTCTGGAAAAATCGACGACCAGGAACAAATCAGGAAACTTATGTATGCATTCATGTGCTACGCCACTGGAAAGAGCACACAGTTTTCTGGTTTTGTCGCAAACCTGACTCTAATGCTCATGAATTATTTCTCGCCTAACAGCTTAGGTATAAAAGCTCATGTTACGCCACTGGAAACACTCAACCCTCTTCTATGATTGTTGTAAAGTTGACTTAGTTGCCACTTTTTCCTGAAATTGCACGATTTTTCAGACACTAGTGTGTTTTTGGTTGCAGTCTAATTTGCCGCCTTTCGGTTTGAAAACTGATTTTCAAAAAATTAGTTCTCCTCAACCAGGCCAGTTAGAAAAGCGCTTGTTACGCCACTGGAAACAGGCAATCTTCTTCTATGAACGTTGTAAAGTTGGCTCTGCTGCCACTTTTTCCTGAAATTGGACGATTGTTTAGACACTGAAGTGTGTTTTTGGTTGCCGCCTAATTTGCCGCTTCTCGGTTTGAGAACTGATTTTCAAAAAATTAGTTCTCGCCAACCAGGCCAGTTAGAAAAGCGCTTGTTACGCCACTGGAAACAGGYAACCTTCTTCTATGAGTGTTGTAAAGTTGACTCTGTTGCCACTTTTTCCTGAAATTGGACGATTGTTTAGACACTGAAGTGTGGTTTTGGTTGCAGTCTAATTTGCCGCTTCTCGGTTTAAAAACTGATTTTCAAAAAAATTAGTTCTCGCCAACCAGGCCAGTTAGAAACGCGCATGTTACGCCACTGGAAACAGGCAATCTTCTTCTATGAGTGTTGTAAAGTTGGCTCTGTTACCACTTTTTCCTGAAATTGGACGATTGTTTAGACACTGAAGTGTGTTTTTGGTTGCCGTCTAATTTGCCGACTCTCGGTTTGAAAACTGATTTTTTAAAAATTAGTTCTCCCCAACCAGGCCAGTTAGAAAAGCGTATGTTACGCCACTGGAAACCGGCAATCTTTTTCTATGAGTCTTGTAAAGTTGGCTCTGTTGCCACTTTTTCCTGAAATTGGACGAGTTTTCAGACACTGAAGTGTGTTTTTGGTTGCAGCCTAATTTGCCGACTCTCGGTTTGAAAACTGATTTTCAAAAAATTAGTTCCCATCAAACAGGCCAGTTAGAAAGCGCTTGTTACGCCACTGGAAATAGACAATCTTCTTCTATGAGTGTTGTAAAGTTGGCTCTGTTGCCACCTTTTCCTGAAATTGGACGATTGTTTAGACACTGAAGTGTGTTTTTGGTTGCAGCCTAATTTGCCGACTCTCGGTTTGAAAACTGATTTTTTAAAAATTAGTTCTCCCCAACCAGGCCAGTTAGAAAAGCGCTTGTTACGCCACTGGAAACAGGCAATCTTCTTCTATGATTGTTGTAAAGTTGGCTCTGTTACCACTTTTTCCTGAAATTGGACGATTGTTTAGACACCGAAGTGTGTTTTTGGTTGCAGCCTAATTTGCCGACGCTCGGTTTGAAAACTGATTTTCAAAAAATTAGTTCTCGCCAACCAGGCCAGTTAGAAAAGCACTTGTTACGCCACTGGAAACAGTCAACCTTCTTCTATGAGTGTTGTAAAGTTGGCTCTGTTGCCATTTTTCCTGATGTTTGACGATTTTTTATACACTGCATTACGTAAAACACAAGCGTTCAGACTTAAAATCGACCACAATTGAGCCCAATGAATCTAAATAATCGATTATTTGGGCTCCCGAAAAAATCCCATTGTAGATGAACAAGGCGCAGGCAAAGAGGAAAAAAATGCGTGGGTACGCAAAATTAAGGGCGTAGTCTCAATCCCTCTGAATACAATTGAAGGACACACACTTTAAATCACTGTTTATGTATGTAAGAGCAGAATGAAGTTGCAAATTGTTAGTCGTCGATTTTCTGAATTAAATCAATTTAGTGGTCACGATCGTCGGATGTCATGACTATTTTTTCTAACGATCTTCAAGAACGTGTGTCGCAATGCTAATAATCTACCATAAGAATTTCGAGGGTGGGTCGCAAACTTGCGGTTTTGTGAGGAAACAATGCGTATTTTTATCTAATAAAACTCACGATTTCTACCAGCCGCTTGTAGAATTATTCTGAAATTTTTGCCTCAATTTGTTCTAAAGATATCAATTTCAAACTAAAATCGACCATTTTCGAAACGTTTATGGAAGACACGCCTGATGACTCCTGACTGAAAAGATCCCTGATCACGGTGCCAAGTTGAAACTTTCAGAATTTGCTCTTTCCAATGGGAGTTTTTGAAGACATTCTCGTCAAGTTTTTAGCTCAATTAGTGCACATACATACCTTTACAAATCGACACCATAATAACCATTTCCCAAACCTCATCGATATCAACAAAAAGAGTTCAAAGTAGAATACTTTTCCGGAGACTCTGTATAGTTTCTGCGTGCAACAATAATTTTGCAGTTCAGAATACGTAAAACTGGTTATAAAAAGCATTGAAAAAAATAATCGAAAACAGTGTCTGCATCTGTAACCGGCTCTCTATTTAATGAAAACGAATCTAGTGAAACGTGTAAAACCGAGAATGTATAATATGCGTTTTACTTCCACTTAATTTAATATTAATTGGCCTTAGACTTAGATATGTAAAAACGTCATGAAGTGTGTAATTAAAACATTTATTTTCTCGTAAGGATTTAATAAATTGCCTGCATCCATGCTTTTAAATGGCAAAAAGAAGGATTGAAATGGCTTCCAATCTGGATGTTGGTTTTGAAAATTTTTAATAGTAAATGCGGCCTTTGCACGGAATACAGCAACGCTAAACGTGCACTTTAGATGATATTGTGTGAATGTCGGTTTATGGCCATTCAATGTGTTATAAAGTCGATCTGCCCACTTTGAATAAATTTTAATCTAAAATTAAATCTTCACATCTCGGCGCTGGATGCATCTTATACTTAATGGCCCAAAGAGATGGATTTTCAAATAAGGCCCAATCTAATTATAAAAAACAGTCGGATAATGAGCATAAATATTTTAGATGCTGTTAGCCAGTCAAATTGATTTATTTGCTGTGTGAAAAATGGTTCAAGTTACGGCAACATTTACAACAGAAGTTTTCTGAAAAGTTTATTAAAATAATTTTCGTTTGTAGAGATGGTTTTTTCTCCTGATTCAAATACGTGCCTCTGCCATTTCTTCACAAGTGCAAGTTTCGAGAGTTGAAATGTTCGAAATCGGTCCGGGCGGTGCATGATCTCGAGATCTCTACCTGAATCGCATTCAAAAGCCAAAGAAACACGGAAGTGGACGCATCAAGAGTGTTTACAAAGTGCGTTTATTTAAAATCAGCTGAAAATCCACTTAGAAGCATGTAAAACTCATATTTAAGTAGGAATCGACAGACGCACTTCTAAACACAGCCTTACCGTTTTTAGCTTGTGTTTACGTTCGCTAAAAACCACAGATTAATTTTCACTATGTTTACTTTGCATTGATTGCTTTACGGCTGTTTATCCAAACAATCGTTTCCCTCAGCAGGAAGGAAAAATGCAATTAACAGACAAAATTGTGAAGACTTTAATTGGACGAATTAACAGACACCCACCTAGATTTTTATTAAATAATTATAAACAAATTACGTCGGAGATTTATTGCATGTTTTAGGCAATTAATAATAATTGTCATGAATTATGCCAGTATTCGCACTTTTTTCCTTCGGTTATTGAACAACAGTTATTTGATTATTAAATTGGAACGTGAAATATGATATTACGTGGCATGAACGATCGTTAAAACTGAAGCAGAAAAAAAGACGTTACATAGAAAAAGCCATTTATTGTCTACTAGAATGAGCGTTTGTTCACCTGACAATACGCCAAATGAAATATGTTTATTTAGTAATAAATTATCGTTACCTGGGCTCAGTTTTGCCGTGTCGAACTAGTGGGTGAATAGGTTGTTATTTATATTTGATTTAAGAACGTGTGACTTTTAATCATCGATTACAAAAGGGCCTTTTTTGCTCACCAATCGGACTGACAATAGCGAAAAACGATTCAAATCCAACCATTTATTGCAACGCAATTTCCCGCTTGCTGTCGTTAATGTAATATTAGAATTAGAATTATTATGTTTGAGTGCAATGAGACTTTTGCAACAATTAGTTTTTGATTACCAACGATTGTCTGCGTTTATTACACAGGTGTGAATGGGCAAAATATTGTTTTTCGGTCTCTCATACAAATGGTCACAGTTTCGATTGCAAATCGACAATCTTGGGGCGAAGACTTTTTTGCGGATTCCAGAATTTGCTTATGAACTTTTGCGTTCATTATTTGTACCTGGTGAATTTTTCTGGCTCTTAGGCCGTTGTGGAAGAAACGTTTTGCAAGCACACAGGCAGTTTCAAATTTATTATGCTTGATTTCAGACTTTATTGTCTTTATTTTATTACGCATTAATTATATTTATGAGAGCAGTGAATCTTCCAGTTTACCTCTAACTGTTTTTATGTAAATTTGGCTCATTATTTTGATATGATGGGCATTATGTTAACAAATGAGGATAGTTCAGTCTCTATTCTCATGCTTGGCATTCCAAAGCTGTGCGAAGCTTCAAAAATGTACAATTAATTATAATTGAATTGTTCTGGTTTTTTTGCATCGGATATGTTTGTTTCAGAGATGGCAGAGACGATGGTTTGTCCTTTACGACGACGGCGAACTAAATTACTCAGTGGATGAACACGTAAGTGTAACGTATTTATTAATTATTTTCGCCGGCCTCCAGTCGAAAACGCCTTTGAACAGTGCAGAAACATGGCCATTTGCGCTGCAGTGCAGCGAGCACACTGTAAAATAAATCTATTTTTACGAGTCTAAATGCGGTTCCAGTTGCACACTGGAACAACATATGAGCAAATAATCGTTTGTGCAAGAAACGTGGACGTTTTTCTATCGTGGCGTGTTCGCACTTTCACTGAAACTGCATCGGCAAAAATCCGAAATGCAGTCCAACGATGCGATTACGCAGAAGGCGAAACCGATTTTTTTTTCAGCAAGGAAACATGTCACGTAATTCGATTGGAAAAAACTGCACTGTGCGTTTTCATGTCGCTTTCGTTATGCGTAAAGAAAGCGAGAAAATGGTTCAATAAACTCGCGGCACACGATTGATTATGTCATGATATTGAAAATTCAGCGATTTTTGCTTCTACTTTTTCAAATGTTTGGAACTTGGGGATTCTAAGTACGAAAATACAGTGAGTCCCAGAAGTAGGTACAGTCGAAATTCGTTTGAAATTTAGCCGAATGTTTTTTGGGGAAATGCTCGGACTCGTCAGTTTTTCTTATTTATTCAGGGGCAGCAATTATTTCCCATCTGCCGATGCCAAAACGAATTATGTGGCTCAAAAGGTTCTTGAAAAACTTCGACAAAAATAGCGTCATGTTTGAGTCGATTTGGAACTAAAAAACCACGCAAATCTAAAACTTCTTGAAATCAAGACTTTTTCGAGAAAACTGCCAACGTTTCCTTATCAAAGTTTCACTTTCTCAAAAGGCCATTTAGTTTCCTCTGGAATGATGTAAAAATGAGCGTTTTTGGTCATTTTGCTTCCGAGAAATGAACCAAAACGGGACGGAAAACATGCAATTTTGGCAAACTCTTGCATCTAACTGTCTGATATTCAAATTTCGCTTTCTGGGTCAGAACTACTCGAACTTCCTCACTCACGTTGTTATGATTGAATAGAGTTTTCAATTCTCTTTCCAACGATGCCAAAACGAATTCTGTGGCTGATTGGTTCTTGACAAATTTTGAAAAAAACAGCGTCAACTTTGAGCCGATTTTGCAATTAAAAAACCACGCAAATCTAAAACTTTTTGAAATCAAGACTTTTTTAGGAAACCTGCCAAAATTTCATTATCAATGGTTCGCTTTCTCAAAAGGCCATTTAGTTCCCTCTGGAATGATGTCAAGATGAGCGTTTTTGCTCATTTTGCTTCCGAGGAATGAGCGAAAAGGCGGTGGAAAACATGAACTTTGGCACAATCTTGCACCTAAGTGTCTAATATTCAAATTTCGCTTTCTGGGTCAAAACTTCTCGAATTCCCTCACTCGTGTTGTCATGACTAAATCGAGTTTTCAATTCTCTTTCCAACGATGCCAAAACAAATTTTGTGACTCAAATGGTTCTTGAGAAATTTTGAAAAAAGCAGCGTCAAGTTTGAGCCGATTTTGCAATTAATAAACCACGCCAATCTAAAACTTCTTGAAATCAATACTTTTTTGAGAAAACTGCCAACACTTCTTTATCAATGGTTTAATTTCCCAAAAGGCCATTTAGTTCTCTCTGGAATGATGTAAAAATGAGCGTTTTTGGTCATTTTGCTTCCGAGAAATGAACCAAAACGGGACGGAAAACATGAAATTTTAGCAAAATCTTACACCTAACTGTCTTATATTCAAATTTCGCTTTCTGGGTCAAAACTACTCGAATTCCCTCACTTATGTTGTTATAACTAAATCGAGTTTCAATTCTCTTTCCAACGATGCCAAAACGAATTCTGTGGCTCAAATGGTTCTTGAGAAACTTCGAAAAAAGCAGCGTCTAGTTTGAGCCGATTTTGCAATTAAAAAACCACGCAAATCTAAAACTTCTTGAAATCAAGACTTTGTTGAGAAACCTGCCAACATTTCCTTGTCAATGGTTCACTTTCTCAAAAGGCCATTTAGTTTTCTTTGTAATGATGTCAAAGTGAGCGTTTTTGCTCATTTTGCTTCCGAGGAATGAGCGAAAAGGCGGTGGAAAACATGAAATTTTGGCACAATCTTGCACCCAAGTGTCTGATATTCAAATTTCGCTTTCTGGGTCAAAACTTCTCGAATTCCCTCACTCATGTTGTTATGACTAAATCGAGTTTTCAATTCTCTTTCCAACGATGCCAAAACGAATTTTGTGACTCAAATGGTTCTTGAGAAACTTCGAAAAAAGCAGCGTCAAGTTTGAGCCGATTTTGCAATTAAAAAACCACGCAAATCTAAAACTTCTTGAAATCAAGACTTTTTTGAGAAACCTGCCAACACTTCCTTCACTTTCTACCAAGGCCATTTAGTTCTCTCTGAAATAAAGTAAAAATGAGCCTTCTTGCTCATGTTGCTTCCGAGAAATGAGCAAAAACGGTACGAAAAACATGCAATTTTGGCATAATCTCGCACGTAAGTGTCTGATATTCAAATTTCGCTTTCTGGATGAAAACTACTCGACTTTCCTCACTCATGTTGTTATGACCGAATCGACTTCAATTCTCTATTCAACGATGCCAAAACGAATTCTGTGGCTCAAATGGTTCCTGAGAAACTTCGAAAAAAGCAGCGTCGTTTGAGTCGATTTTGCAGCTCAAAAAAACACGCAAATCTAAAACTTCTTGAAATCAATACTTTTTTGAGAAAACTGCCAAGATTTCCTTATCGATGGTTCACTTTCTCAAAAGGCCATTTAGTTTCTTCTGGAATGATGCCAAAATGAGCGTTTTTGCTGATTTTGCTTCCGAGAAATGAGCAAAAACGGGACGGAAAACATGAAATGTTGGCATAATCTTGCACCTAAGTGTCTGATATTCAAATTTCGCTTTCTGGGTCAAAACTACTCGAATTCCCTCACTCATGTTGTCATGACTAAATCGAGTTTTCAATTCGCTTTCCAACGATGCCAAAACGAACTCTGTGGCACCGATTTTTTACACAAAATACCTTCCAAACTGCTCGATTTGTCTCTCGATTGTTGTTTTCCTACCAGTGTCGTTCTCGAATGGCTCGGAACAAACGCACTTTAATCGGTGTCAAAGTTTTTGTGCCAGAAGGGACAACCCAGCACAACATCGACTTACACTAAAGCTCAATGTGTTTGTTATGTCGAGCCCTTTGGGCACGGCACTAATTTTTTATGCAAAAAACCTTACCAACTGACCGATTTGTTGCTTGATGTTCTCCTACCAGTGTGCAACAAACAAACCAGACTTTTTATCGATCCCTTAACTTCACCGTCGAAAACCGGCAAAGTTTCCACTTGAAAAATTGAAGAAGAAAAAACAGAACCGCAATTAAAAGTGAAAATTGACGGTCAGAGCTTTTTTCCAAAATAATCATCGCTGAACTTTAAACGCCAAAGTGCTCAGGACTTTTCGATACTTCCAACGGTTTCGGAATTCCAAGGCTTTCCACATTTTCTGCCATCATTCATTTACAATCCTGATGGCAATTTTTTGGTAAAATCTCCCATATTGAACTAGTTTCCTTCCACTTCCAGCCAGACACCATTCCTCAAGGATCGGTCGACATGACGAAAGTTCTGGAAGTAACCGGCGCCGAACAGGTAGGTGGCGAACCAAACACAATCAGGAACACAGAGGCATTTCCTCCCGTTCCAGATAACTGGACATCCCCACTCTTTGGCCCTCACCAGTCCAGATCGTGTGACTTTCGTGAAGGCCGCAAGTCGCGAGGATGCCCGTTGGTGGGCCGAGTTACTGGCCGTTTTTCCTCGGCGGCACAAAAGAAACGCCACTTTCCCAGGGGGAAGAGCCTCCCCCAGTCTGCCGCAGCTGGGGAGAAGCGCCAGTCCACAGCCGCCCCGGCCCAGGTGGGAGATTGATTCGATCCGGATGATAACTCGTCATTGAACGAAAATTCTGTGTTGAGCAGGCATCTAAGTGTGACTGGCCCTTCACCTCGCACCAACTTCGAAACGCCGCCACTCAAAGAGGAGCGAGAGGCGGCGCTGAAGGAGGAAAAGGCCGCAGTCAAAGTGGAGGCGGGGCCTGATGCGAAGGAGATTGAGGGGCGGCCGCCCTTAAGGCTGGGATGGGCGCCCGAAAGGACTCCTGGCCTCACCATTGAGAACGGGACTTCGTCCATTCGGAAAGGTAAGACAACAGTTTTTATTGGGGTTTTTGATTGTGAATATCCGATGAAGTTGGATGCGAAACCAAACAATCCACGTTTATTGACGACAAACAACGCACAACAATACAGATTGTTGAGTCAATCAATAAGTCGTTGGGGGCTTCTTGGCAGTGAAGCAGTTGAACGGTTTTATTGGCCCTGATAATAATGCGATCATGAGCCTTTTTTGACCTTAATTTAATGCGACACCAGCTGCAGTCTGAAGTTAAACAATGTCCCATAAAATGCGCTTAATTTTATAACCCTTGCGATTTATTCGAGGTTTTCGGCATAATTATCGATCGTTATTAATGACTGTTCATGGGGATTTTCCTTGGCAGTTTTGGGTTTTTTAATGCGACAATAGTCCAGTCCGATTAGACTTTCAAAGGCCTATTTCGGACCCATGGATGAAGGTTAAAGATTATTGGAAGTTATTCGGAAGAATGTCATAATATTGGGACAAAACTTTGCTTAAATTATCAAGGAAAGTGTGAAAACCGGCCATTTGTGTTTAACTTTTGAGCCGTTGATGCTCTTGAAAAAAGTTCAATATTTTTTTTCAAGCATACCTTTTTTTACGCAAAAAGCGAAAAAGTCGATAATTTTCGCGTTTGTTTTAATTTTCTATAATTAATTTTGTTCAGCTTCTAAACAATCGTACTATAATTTTTTTAAGGTCTTTGTACAGTTTATAAGTGTGCAAAACAAAAAAACGCAAACATTGGCGGTTTTTTGTTTCTTAAGTAAACAAATGAACGGATTTTCGCTAATCGCAAATTTCATTTTCGCAACTGATTGCGTTTATCTCATAGTTTTAAATGTTTTATGATCTTTTCCACCCATTTCATATACGTTCATGGGGATTTTCCTTGGCAGTTTTGGATTTTTTAATGCGACAATAGTCCAGTCCGATTAAGACTTTCAAAGGCCTATTTCGGCCCCATGGATGAAGGTGAAAGAGTATTGGAAGTTGTTCGGAAGAATGTCATCATATTGGGACAAAACTTTGCTTAAATTATCAAGGAAAGTGTGAAAACCGGCCTTTTGTGCTTAACTTTTGAGTCGTTGATGCTCTTGAAAAAAGTTCAATATTTTTTTCAAGAATACCTGCGATATGAGACAAACGAAATTAAAATCCGTTTCTTTTTTACGCAAAAAGCGAAAAAGTCGACAATTTTCGCGTTTGCTTTAATTTTCTATAATTAATTTTGTTCAGTTTCTAAACAATCGTACTATAATTTTTTTTGAAGGTCTTTGTACACTTTAAGTGTACAAAACAAAAAAACGCAAACATTGGCGGTTTTTTGTTTCTTAAGTAAACAAATGAACGCATTTTCGCAAATCGCAAATTTCATTTTCGCAACTGATTGTGTTTATCTCATAGTTTTAATAATTCTCATTTCATATACATAGTGATTTATTGAATTTTGTAGTTTGTATTGAAAATTGTGATTTGAGAAGGCACAAGGTGAATTTGTTCACCTGTTTGTGAGTTGTTCACGCTCTTTTCCCATTCAGAAATTATTATGGGGATACTACAATTTTGAAACGTTGTTGTCGTTTGCCTAACTGAAACTGAAAATAGACCTCTAAAAGAACTATTTTAATCAACATTTTGATAAGTGGAATTGATAAGTTTGCTGAAGTTTGCTGATAAGTTTGCTTCTTTGAAGGAATTTGAAATGTTTTGTTCCAGCCGCTTTAGGCCATTTTATTGTCTGCATTTCTTAAATCAGGTGCGTTCTGCATTAAGCCCGTATATGTATAATTCAGGCGGCGAGTTTTTCGGAATAGGCGGAATCCGGTGCGAAGGCAAAAACGAGCAAAAGATGAAAATCGGCTTAAGGAGGAGGCGCATCCCCAACCGTTTTGAACAAGTCTGACAAAATTCCCGGGAAAGCCGAGAAACGTTGAAATGATATTTATGCGACGGCCTTTCCATATTTGGCTTCGGTTCTTAACTTTTTTGCCTTAAACCGGCCATCGCTGATACGTATGTGGTCTTATTTTTTCGCGATTCGTCTGCTATTGAACGCGAACGCGGAAGAAAAAAACGTGATGTATGCACTTTAACTATGTGCGAGCTTTACGATCATCTACACAGCGAACAAACTACACAATGGATTTGATCGGTTCTCGAACATTGAAGAAACACTTGCAATTTTTCTAAGTGATTCAATGGTCAAACCTATCGGTTCGGTTCCAGACAATTGGAGGTTAGGTCTTAAGCTGTGCTCTTCAAAACTTGAAATGTTTAACAATGTCGAACGTGCATAAAGGTTCTAAGCGGGTTATTACAAGCAAATTGATTCTTCTGAGAAAGTGCCAGTGAATGATGTGGAACACGCTTGAAAGGTTTTTCCTGATCTCGAACCTTTTGAGTAACAGGTGTAGGAAACCTAATCCTCACAAGGCCGTTTGATTTAGACGCCCGTCGAGTACGATTTCTCAAATATTATGCGATCATCTAAAAATATGGAACCCACTTGTATGTACAGCCCAAGATTGTTTAGGCTTCGCAATTGACTTGATGTCAATCCGTTGATGAGTGCGAACATGTGAAGAGCGACCTTAGAGAATGTCAACCAATCAAACATGCGGATTTAGCAAAAGCGATGGAAAACCCACTAGACTACCAACAGCCGTTGTATGTATCATCATATCAATTGTAGATGCTGGTTTGCAACATTCATAACGGCTCAGTTTATCTGCGGGTTATCGAAAGCAGACGTAAAATTACGTTTAAAAATTATGGGTTACATGGTAGTCCCGGCGCTTTGTATAACATTTTGCTCCATATCGCCCAAGGGCAGATGAAACCTTAGTGGACTGGTGGAAAATATAATGGGAGCTGGTTTTTAAATCGTGAAGCCACTTGGATGGCTGAAATGCCACGGATGCCCCAACTATTCAATCGGTGATGTAATTGTAGCCTTATCGATCAGTTTCCTTTTCGCTTTTGTTCCGCTGGCTGAAGGAACCCAACCCTAAATGGCGTGAGAAGGAACAAAGCAGCCTTGTTTATGGGTTTAATTTTTTTCGTTTTGGGCTTCGTTATCCCCGTTAACTTGTTCCGAGCATTTGTTCGGCGTGGACGAACGGAACGAATGATTACGAATGATTCGATTCGTCTTAAGAATGCATTGGTCCAATGCGAATTACGGGGCGAACTCTCATTGAAAATAAGGCAAATATTCATTTTCATTCGTTCTGTTTGTCCGCACCAAGAAAGCGCACTTTTTTCTGCCTCCCAACCAATGTTTCAGTTATAAATCGACAATCTTGGGGCGTGTTTTTGCCGAATAAATTGAGGTGAAAGTCTACAGGTTGATGTTTTTATTAGGAGTTTTTTGCGCTCCTTGTTTTGTGTGTGTTATTTTCAGGCTAAATACTTTTCCTTTTAATCAAAAGAATAAAAATTCGATGTTTGCGAATTCTCTTGACTGAGTGACTTTTTCCTTTTAGGACTTCTTGAACATTTTCATTTCAACGTTTTATTAGTTTTTCTTGTTCTATTGTTCTCAATTTCTCAATATTCTTTCCAATTATTTTAATTCCTGTCAGTCCTTTCCTATGTGTTTTAAATATGTTCTGGCTTTCGATTGTCTTTGTGTCTGATGTCCAACTATTCTCCTTTGCTTTCACTTTTATCGCGTTGTTTTTATTCTCTTCATAATTTTGTGCATTTGCGCCCAATCGGTAGCTACTTTTTGCTCGACTGTTTTTTCTTCGTTATTTGCTTCTCTCATTTTTTGGCACCATCCTTATTACTTGATGCCCATGAATTTTTCGTTTTCGATTGCACTCATCTTCAAATTTCCCTTTTATTCTTGCTGTTGCTAAATAGCTCTTTAAACATTGCCAATTTATTTTCATTCAGTTCATTTTAGTACGGTTCTTGTCCATTTCGTTTGCCTAGTTGCTGATTTCAATGTAGATCCAGAAATTAAACAAGTAATTAATAAAATAGAAGAAACAATTCGTTGATAACAAAGTAGCAACATTGAAGGAAAATGGTAAAGGGAAAAAGGGTACTAAACCAAGCAAGAAAACCTAATTAAAAACGACTGAATTGACTACGAAGGAATAGAAAAAATTGATACAAAAAACAAACAGCTTTTCCAACTGTTAAAGTAACGAAAAACTAACAGGAATAAGGTTAAAAAACCTATTTTCGAAAATTTTAGTTTTCAAAAAAATTTGCCTAATTACTATAAACAGCTTTTTTGGAAAAAAAATGTTTTCGATTTTCTGTATTGAAGTACGGAAGCTTGAACTTCAGGGTTGGCGCGCCTTGAGAATAACTACCAAAATCAGTAGTAAAAAGGAAAATTTCGATATTTTTTTAAGGAAAATTTAAAATTTCCGGTTCAAGCACTGAAAAAACCGATCTTTGAAAACATCCAATTTCAGGCTAACAAAATTAGTGAGAAAAGTCAATAAACTCGCTTCGAAGAAAACAGCAAAAAAGTATTTTCAGAGTTCAGAATGCGAAGGTGAACTTTAGCACACACATTGTTTGACATTCGAAAGTTTGAGAGACACATTTTGAGAATTAACCACAAATGCGTTGTCATTCTGACATGTTTGTCAACAAAGCTGTCAAAAGTCAGGCTGCAGGGTTGCCGCCATGAGAAAAAAATAGTCTCATGCTCCCAATTTCTTGTTCATAATAACGTACTTTGTTAATAACTCAATTTTTTTGAAAGCTTTAATCGCGTGCCCATTAGGATGAAAAATGCCTGTTTTAGTTTCCCCGAGTTTCAAGAGTATAATTTCAGCCATTTGAGGAAAACGACACAAACCCTATTTTCAAAAATTTCAGTTTTTTCAAAAAAATTTACCTAATAGCTTTTTTGGGAAAAAAATGTTTTCGATTTTCTGTATTGAAGTACGGAAGCTTGAACTTCAGGGTTGGCGCGCCTTAAAAAAACTACCAAAATTAGTATTAAAAAGTAAAATTTCGATTTTTTTTGTT